GTTAAGCAAACAAAAAACTTATGACGAAAGCAGTTTCATCTGAAACTCGATCTGAAAATCCACCTTCCGTTCCTGGTCTTGCGTGACAACGTCGCGCAGCTACTTATTAGAGTAAGTGTAACATTGAATACCTGAAGTTATACATGTATGCATGGAAACATACGTATAATGGCATCCCGTGTCAATTCGGACAGGGGAAAAAAATACGTATATAAACGATAAATTCCCGAGGTTATTGATTCTTGAGGTTGTTAGAGAATATTTTGACTTTTAAAAGACTTGCCCTTGTATTGAAAGGTAAGTACTCGAATGCTAAGTCATTAATCCTCAAACTTCCTTCCATTGATATTTTCTATAAATATTATTCATTTTCTTTCATCAATTCGTATATATTGATATACAAATTAAAATTATTTTCAGGATGATTAAACTAAAATTGTCTTCGGCCTTGATTGTTTTTTTGCTCAGCATAAATTGTTTATTTACTATTGTAATGCCAGATAAAGTACCCACATCAATTGGAAATACTGGTAAATTCTATTGATGATCTGGCACCATTTGAACTCATTTTATTATACCAATGACTTTAAATTCTTGTTATTGCAAATTAAGAGTATCCACAGAATATCAAGATTCCAGCCAATTTTACTATTCCGGCCGGAAATGATTTTAAATTTCATTTGTCCCTTGCCGGATTTGTCTGGTACATGTGTGATACTAGTAGTGATGATAAGTGGATTACGGGTAAGTACATATGGGCAGCCGTCAATAGAAATAAGGCAGATTAAAATTTGAAAAAAAGTTTTACCTTAACTTTCATAGCTCATACTCTATGAATTTTGATACTATCATGATGATATAATATTCAAAAGAAAGCTTAGATCGTAGATCTTAAGTTTTCTTTTGACTCTTAAATCATTAAGATAGCATCAAATTTCATCGAGATATGGGCTATGAAAGTTAAGGTAAAAACTTTTTTTCAAATTTCAATCTGCCTTATTCTATTAACGGCTGCCCATATTCACTTATTTTGATACTTATATTGGTACATAACTACTTGTAGTGCTTATTATGTTATATGATTATTAGATCAATTTCGCTCAGTATATTTTAACAATAAAGACGATATCTTCGGTTTCCCCCGTGGCTGTATTTGATGTAAGAAGTATGTAATCATTAAATAAAATGATGTTTTTTTTTAATATTTAGGACTAATTAACGATCAAATTCTGGTCAAAATTATAATTTTGAACAGAATTAAATTTGTATTGCATGATTTTATTTGAGTGATTGAACATCAATGAAAAATTTTGATTAAATCTTCGAATTTTCATTGAAAATAATAAATAACGTTAAATAGAGAATGTTGACATTTGGAATACTTTCATTTTCATAACAATTTAGATGGCCAATATCATGTTCTATCAGCTATTCCAGAACATGATACTTCATCAATGATCACAACTGTTATTAACGACGCACCATCACCTGATCCAACTAAAAATTATCCATCCGAGCTCATTTCTGTTATAGTAATTATTATAATTTTATTATATAAATGCTTCAATTATTCGATTAACATTTGTATCAAAATTAAACAGAGTACTGCAGGAGTTGGAGCATTTTCAAATATTACCTATTACATTCTTACAGCTACTGATGGCGGAGTACCATCACCGAAGTCAGACTGTAAGTTAAAGTGGTTTATAACATTATTAAACATTATCGTATCGTTCCTTTATTTATTGCATTTTAATATATATTACATTGTAATTATTAGGTGGGACCAAATATCCAAATGGTTATCTCTTTTCCGAACCAATTTGTGCAACTATCTTATACTATGGGAGAAACTAATACACAAAGTTCTCATAACTTGATTACTGATATAGATAAAAAAATATAATACATATAACTAGAAATATAAAATTGCAGCCATCTTAGGTAAAAAATCGACATACCCGTTATGTGCCACTTCGATTACCTCCTTCCTGGATTACGGTTCTGCGGCTCACAGTATAGAAAATTATTTAGCTACTATTTTTCCTAAATGATATTATAATAAACCATCTAAAACTATTCAGAAAGTCTTCAAAAAAAATTTTTTTTTTTTAAGAATTTGGTTCACAATTTTTTATTTTTTATAGAAACAGTTACTGGTATAACAAATATTAAATAAGATAGCTGCACAACGTTGTTACGCAAAACCATGAACGGGAGACGTAAAGAGTATTGGTATTGCATGTAGTAAATACAGTATATAGGTTGTTGCACTATTGGGCATATGTAATGATATGTTATATATACAGTACACTATGTACTGTTAGTATAATTGTGGCATAAAGCAGTGGCTAGAGATAGGAAAATCGAATCTACTGCGCAGGCTGCACAGCCTCAGGTTTCGCATTTATACATATAAAACATCTATTTCATATGTGTAAAGTTGGGCTTTCATCATTTTTAATTAGTACTCCAAGGTTAGTTTAAACGTCAGTTTTTGTTGTTTTGCATTTTTTACTTTTTCTCTGCATATCAGTGAATTTGCATCATCTGGTAAATAGGAACTCATCCTTAATAATTCTGGTTAAATTTGCAGATCATTTGACCAGATCTAGAACAAGACATCTTTAAATGCAGTCAAATGATCTGCAAGGTGACCAGAATTATGAACGATAGATTCCATTAATTAGGTGATGCAGATCTGTTTTTCTTTCGAACTTATTTTCAATTGGTAATTCAAACCTGGATTATAAAGCTGATCAGAATTATATCAGCTAGTCAGAATTATGAAAATTGCACTTTGCAGACTCAAAAAATGTTTGCGCAATGTCCCATCTCTAGTAGTGGCTTATTTCTAACTATAGGTACTATATGTAGTATAGTACTATATGATTATATAAATATATATAGATATACAAAAATTGAGTAAAATTTTAATAGTAGGTAGGTTTATAAAATTAATTTTTACAAGTCCATTATCTGTTTAGCACATGGATGCAACAAATTATTAGACATGATTAATAAGTATTATTTAATGTAATTATTTAGCTAATGCTTACTTATTATATCAATAATTTATCATATATTTATGTCAAATAAAAGAGAAAACCTAATCCTTTACAAGTAAACCATCTTTATGTTTAAGGTTAAGGTAAGTGTAAGAATTATTTTTTTTCATATAAGGTTATAGAAAAATTGACTTTTTCAAAATAATTTTTTTTTTACAAATCATACATACTGTTAATTTACTATATATCCTCATTAATTAAATCTCTAGATACACATTATACAGACTGTATATAAAAAAAAAGTGCATTACATAAATAACATATTACTAGTCATGTGATATAATGTGATGCAGATTGTTAAAAGAAAAATATATTTTTAGCATCATATATAACATAAAAACATTTTACTTATCATAAAACAATGCATTCCATTTCTGGTATAAGCAAAAACAAGATATAACTTGATTTTGTTATATTTTATCAAATCCAATTTAAATAAGGTACTTTTTTTTTTATAAAAATGAGTGACAAAAAAGAAAAACCTGTAAATTATTTCACTTATTATCTCAATAATAATAATAAGTAAAATAATTTACAGGTTTTTCTTTTTTGTTACAAAAATTATGTGATGTGTATGAAGTCAAAACCTGTAATATCAGGAATAAACAATTAGAAAGCAAGATATAATTTTAAATCTGAAATGCATGCATACACACAAATAAGATACCTACATAGGTTCGTATAAGCTATATTAAGCTAGTTGCACTTCATTTACTATATATCAAGCAAAAATCTCATATTCTTTTTAGCTTTGTTTGCAGTACTACATAAAGTTACAAGGATTGATCATCTAATCAGGTCCAAGATTTCATACATTGATATTTGAATCACATATAAACCACTGAGATAAAGTAAGTCATTATAACAGCAAGTGCAACTCAAAATTATGTGAAAATGAAATAAAATAGATTAATGAAAATGAAAGGCATAAATAGTAAAAAGATTGCATAACAAATTTGATAATACAGGTAAGATTTTGTTTAAAACAGATAAATAACCTGACAATCAAAAAGCCATAATAATAAATAGTAAGGTTCCATGTTTAAATCAATAACTAAATAAGAAAATCTAAGTACTAAAATATAAGTATGATATCAATGCAAAAAATTTATATAATACACAAGTTCAGAAATCATAAGTCACAAGGATTGATCATTCAATCATATCCAAGATTTTGTAAATCCACATTTAAATTGCCTATAAACCATACACTATTTTATATGTTGTATAAACTCCATTCCTGGTATATGGAAAGTCTACTGGCACATGTCACTCACATGATCCTAACCTAACTAAATGTTATGAACACATACCAATTACCAATCAACAACAACATTGTTGTTGAAAAAGATATATTATGTTTTGTGCATGACACTATACAAGAATTTAATAACAGAATAAGAAAATTGATTTAGCATTTATATCCCATTATTTAATTTCCAACTAAACTTTAATTCTTGCATAAGTATCACTTACATAGTGAAATATACAGTTTACCCACTCACCTGTCTTGACAAATTGCAATTTACCTACCCACTCACCCTTGAAAAATTGCAATTTGCCTGCTAACTCACCTGCCCTTAACAATACTCTCAACACTGACAAGAATGTGATCATGTAATATTCAAAATTTTACTTTTACAAAAACGATTCGTATCGTATAAAAGTTTAGGTCACATGATCAATATAATCTGTTTTACACTGATGAAACAAGTAAAAAAAATAAATCATTAAAAACTAAGAAATTAAAGATAAAAAAAATTAAATAAATAAATAAATTAAAAAAAATTAAAAAATTAAAAAAATTAAAAAAAATTTAAAAATAAATAAAAATTAAAAAAATCAAATAAAAATAAATCAAATAAAAAAATAAAAAATAAAAAAATTAATCCTGGGTTGTTAAACCCAACTTGGGATTAGATAAACCCGATTCGGGTTCATTTAAACCCAATTCGGGTTCATTTAAACCCAATTCGGGTTCATTTGAGCCCAATCCGGATTCAAGTGAACCAATTCGGGTTCAAGTGAACCCAATTCGGGTTCATTTGAGCCCAATCCGGGTTCAAGTGAACCCAGTTTTGGTTCGTTTGAGCCAATCCGGGTTCATTTGAGCCCAATCCGGGTTCAAGTGAACCCAATTCGGTTCATTTTAGTTCAAGTGAACACAATTCGGTTCATTTTAGTTCAAGTGAACCCAATTTGGTTCATTTTAGTTCAAGTGAACCCAATTCGGTTCATTTTAGTTCAAGTGAACCCAATTCGGTTCATTTTAGTTCAAGTGAACCAAATTCGGTTCATTTGAGCCCAATCCGGGTTCAAGTGAACCCAATTCCGGTTCATTTGAGCCAAATCCGGGTTCAAGTGAACCCAATTCGGGTTCAAGTGAACCCAATTCGGATTCATTTGAGTCCAATTTGGGCTCAAGTGAACCTAATTCAGGTTCATTTGAGCCTAATCTGGGTTCAAGTGAACCCAATTCGGATTCATTTGAGCCCAATTTGGGTTCAAGTGAACCTAATTCAGGTTCATTTGAGCCCAATTTGGGTTCAAGTGAACCTAATTCAGGTTCATTTGAGCCTAATCTGGGTTCAATTAAGGTTTATTTGAGCCCAGTCTGGGTTTAAATAAACCTAATTTTGATCTATTTAAACCAATATGAATTAAAATATTAAGTGCAAATTGGGTTAAATTAAATATATCTATTTAAAATTTTTTTAAGATTTAAATTAGTTAAGATCTATTCCTCAGCAACGCCTGGGCCTGAGACCTAGATTAATTAAGGTCTATTCCCGGAGCAACGCCCGGGCCTGAGACCTAGTCTTATTTATAAAATAATTAAATTTGAATGTAAAATAACCTTTATGTTTAAGTATTTAGGAATTTAATAGCTTATTAAATGCTTAGATTATAAATATTACAGTATTTCTTTTATACATTAAATTAACATGAATAAATGCTCTTGAAACTCAATGGCTTACTTGAAATGCATATATTGACAAAAATTCTTTATGTTAATTAGTAAATGATAAGTTTAATAGCGTATTTTATATGCTTGAATTAATAAATATTCTTTATATCACACACTAGATTAATACAAATAAAAAAAATTCAACTAGTAAATACACATAAAATTTAATGGTTTATATTAGGCGCATCTTTGACTACCAAAATTTCTTTATAATCGTCACTAAAGTAAAGTAAGCGGATATTCATTAAATTTAATAGTTTACTCAAATACTTTGATTTATAAGCTTTTTTATATCACGAACTAAATTAACGCAAATCAAATGAAATTAAGTAGCAAATATGAAAATATTCATGAAATTTAATAATGATTTAATAATTCAATTAACAAATATTTTTTATACTCATACATTAAATAATTGCAATTAAAATGAAATTAAATAGTAGCATTAGAGCTAATTTTATGAGTCTAGCATTACCAGTCTAAAAAATTTCGCATATCATATGATATTATTGCAAAACAAGAAATAAATTTCTCTAAGAAAAATCATTTCGCTATTACATTACGTCTGATCTCTAAATTTGATTGGTCAGTGAAAATTTTAAGACTGGCTATTTTAGAGGTGGCAGAAAAAATTCGCGATCAGGTCACCTGATCGAGAATTTTTTTTGCTAGTTTCAGAAAACCAAATTTTATATAATTTTCATCACGTTATACATAAAGTACCAGACTTACAAAAGCTCTGCCAGTACATCGTTTGATTTGAATGTAGGATCCGAATTGTAATTCCTAACTCGCCGAAAATTTGATCTCAAAAACCAATGTCATGACACAAAGTTACGCAAAATTACTGAAATTTAACCCTATAGAGTTGCTGACTAATTTTGATTGTGATCTAACCGATTACTTATAACTCTGGTCAAATTGAGTTATTTGATTCCGAATTTGGTCAAATGATATACAAATTTGGCCAGAGCTATAAGTAATCGGCTCTGCCAGTTTAGATCACAATCAAAATTAGTCCTTACGGAATTTATGACTATTTTAAGTGTTGAATGATTATATTCCGCACTAAATTAACACGAATAAATGAAATTAATATAAAATTCAATGGTGTACATTAAATTCTCAAATTAACAAAGTTCTCTAGACTCAATGCACTAGGTCACACGAATAAGAAGCATAGCGGGCTTTCGTTATAATTGGCCAATTTTTTGTAGATCATTTCGTGACTTTCATGAATTCCTATTGGCTGATCAAATAATATATAATAAATCGTAAAGTATAGGAATTCGAGATCGTCACGTTAGTACTTATTATGTTAATTTTTAGTATATGCTGCAAAGAGAAAACAAAGCTTCTAACTTTGTACTTATTAGTTTGCTTGACTTAGAAAACGGTCAGATGTGTGCCCCAATTAAACGAGGCAGTTTTCAAAATTCTGAAGGTATTTTAACCCTTCCTCTTTCCTATTTAAATTTCGTTATGTTTTGTGATGGAATTCTCATATTAACTTTAATTTTCTGTGTTAATTGCGCATACTATTAATTTTTTTTACACAATTAATAGTTTGTCTTGGCAACATTCAAACTAATTGTGATCTTAGAATACACAGCATTGGATGTGTTTTATGTGAATACAACAGTATTGAGAATGCGGAACTGACCTGTAAATGTGGGATGAATGCTAAAAAGTGAATGGTATTGAGATTGTAAAATATTGGGAATAAATTATGTGATGTAAAAAATTATGTAAAAATTTTCTTAAAATTATAATTAATAAAAACATTAAATTTAACAATGTAACAAATATAGATAACAATAAAATATAATAAGAACTATATGTAGTAATGCGATATTTATTATTAAAGAAAATAACAGTTTACATTAAATAAATAAATATATTGCAATTTAATTAAAAGTTATTTTTAATAAATTCAACTCAATCCTAAAAAAAAATTATGAATTCACTAAAAATAAAAGGACAAACACTATAAATTCTAACCCAAAATAGTTTTTCAAAATAAGACATCAAAAAATATATACCACAATACATGACTTATTTTATAATTACACATTTTCAAGAATTTGATCAATATTATTAGGATCCATATTATCATCTAAAAGAAAATCTGTATTACCAGTATTATCACAAATATTAGTATTATCATTTATATCAGAATTATCTTTAATATTAGAATCATCTTTAATATTGGAATTATCATCAATGTTGGTATTATTGACAGTATCAACATCATCAATATTAGTAATATTAGTTTCAACAATATCCAACCCCTTTGAGGATGGCGATTCTAGTGTAGTGGTTGGGTTGTTAGCCTCCAAGTTGCAGGTCTAAGATTCAAATCCCATCTATGACGAAATTTGGAAATTAACCTGTGTTATGGCTAAACTGTTTCTTGTTGATTAGTTGGATTTAGGTATCTGTAATCTTGGGTACAACCAATCAGGTTCTACTTATTATTGGGAACCTGGGGCATCTATGTGAAGTGTAATGTTACATGTATATAGAGAAATGTTAAACTAAGATAACATAAGATTCCAATGCAAACCCATGCTAAGACCACTAGATGTAGAAGACCAAGAAACCAAGGAGATGGAATCCCACTTAGAAATCCTAAAAAAGAGATAGCACAAACCTTCGATAGTGCTATCAGACTGATGGAAGCCCAGGAAACCCCAATAAGGAATAGGCAGACATGCAACTGGATGGAAAGATGTATAGAGGAGCACATGACCAACCAGGTCACTGGAGAAAAAGGATACCAAAAGGTATACCATACTGGACTATTTGGATTGGAAGTCTGGGGAGTCTGTTGGATTCTAAGTTAGATAGTATAAGGATGAAGAGAAGAAGTTGGAAAGATAGGTACCAGGGTTTGGATGAACTTTACAAAAGCAAAAATAGTGTAATGTAGCAGTTTAAGGTTATCCCTGACTGCAAGTGTTAGGTAACTATAGTGTGTTAAATAAAATCTAGGTTAGCTGTGTGTGGAACACAGAGGCTCTGGTAGGTTTATCTTAAGAATAAAATAGTTCTAAGATTGAGATGAGGATCTGGGCTTGACCTAGTGAAGTTAGTACAAGGATTTTAGATCAGAGGGTTTAAATAGAACACTTAAGTAAAGATGTTAGATATGGCAACTAGTGGGGAACCTTTGGGCAGACCTCTTAAATAGGTAATATAGAAAAATTACATGTGTAGTCAGTTGTACACTTGTTATGATACCTAACAGAAGTATTAATAAAGTCAAAAGACCAAAGAGGTCACCTTAATACTGAAAAAAAAAATATCCAATTTCTTTATATTCTTATTTTTTTTGTTTTTAATCAAATAAATTTAAAGTTTTCTAATAATTTTTATAATTTTTTCTAATTCTTCTTGTAAGAAAGTTGATACAATAATGGCATTAACTTTCTAATATAAATAAAAAATATTCATAGTGATAAGTATGTTTACAAACAAGAATACAATTTATCTTTTGAAAATTATCACAGTTTTTTAAGTTACAAAAACAATCTTTTTATAGAAGGTATGTTGTATTCCAAGCCATTGTTAACACTTTAATATTGACTTGAGTTCTAAGTATTAGAAATTTATATAACTTAAATTTTAAATATGCATCAAATGACAATCTATTAAGATTTTAATAAACATTTGTAAAAAGTTTAGAAGAAAGAGAATAGTATATTTTTTACGATATTCTAATTGTTTTGCTAAATATCTAATATTATGATGAAAAAAAACTCTTTTTACAAATCTATTATACAAAAATTAACTAAAAATTTCATCTCTCAATAAATACTTATAACTATTTATTTTACTATAATAATCTGTCTTAGGTTCTTAAGTAAATTTGTTTAACATATCATTTTACATATAATATATAAATATTAAAGTTTTATATTTTAAATTCATTAAGAAAATTGTACAGACAGCCTTTGACCACTTGTTAAAAACTTTTAATCATATTACAGTTTCTACTACCTTAATCTATTTTATATTCTTAAGTAAAGTTGTATAACATTTATCCAATTAAAATAAGTTCTAAATAAAGATTTTTGACCTAATATTGACTAAACTACAATTAAATATAATATTTATTCTTTTATAAAACTTTTTTTTGCTTTTTATCTTTATTCTATCTTCTTTTCCCTTTATATATTTTTTATGTAATTATATAATTATTTTCTAATTTATATTTAATTAATTTACATTAATATTTTGTAACCTATCCATTAATAGAAATTCATTTACACAATTAAATATTTCTATATCTAGTCCTTATTAGTATTACACAGTAATTTGTATTGTAAATCTTATCTGTATTTAGTATTTAAGTTACAATAGTGACCCTATTACATTTATTACATCTTAGTAACATCTTTAAACTACAACCTTTGTATTTATCTAAAACTCTTATAAAATTAATTATCTACAATTATATTTTCTATTTAGAAAATATTTCTAAATTAATTTAGAAAAAATTCTAAGACTTTAAAAAAATTTTTATTCAATTTATTATTACTTAACAATACTTACCTTAAGTTAACAAGAACCTGATACAGCTTAACTTGATAATTTCTACAAAAACTTTTCTAATAGTTTTGGAATTACTTTTTATGAAAAAAAAATAATAACAAGACTTGTCCAATTCCTTTCAAAGTTTAACTTACTATTTGCTTAACAAAAAATCTTAGATTAAATAAGATTATTTATTTCTTCCAAGCTCCTATTTCCACTTCTATAATTACTTATCTTTATAGCAAATATTACATCAAATTCATCTCAATCTCAAATACTAATTATATTCAAGCTACTAATTTACAACTGTTTATATTAATAATAACTCTAAAAAATCAATAAAACAAACCAACAACTTATGACTAATCTCTTTACTTTTACTGATAGTGTTTATTCATTCCTTATACCAAATATGTATTACTATACTTATACTATATGCTCTCTTCCAATTGGTTGTATTAAGAAACATGAACATCATTATTTTAATAAAAAATATATTTCTAAAAATAATGAAATTTATCATCTTATTTATATAATTGTTTATTTTAATATAAAGCTAGTTTATCTCAAACTAAGAAAAACTTTATCCAAACTTTTTAAAACATCTTATATGAATCTTCTCAAACTACTAATTCTCTTACTACCTTTTTGTATCAAACTTTAACTTCTTCTGATTTTATTGATTCTTTCTTCTTTATAACTACTAATACTAATCTTATCTTTAACAAACCTCTTATTATTAATACTTTTAATATTTCTAATCTGAATCTTAACAATTCTAGCAATAGTAACCAACTTAAAAATACTTCTAACAAATCTCTCTTCAAATCTTATTTTAATATTCTCAAACTAAATCCAATCATATATATGCTGAATTACAAATTTTCTAATTATTAAAAAAATACAATCTAATAAAAAATTGCAAACTCTATTTTCTCTCTAACTCTTTATATTTCTTAAAAAATTTCTTTATAATTTCTATTCTGATAAAAAAATAAGCCAGCTATTGTTGTTCAACCTGTACTCAAAACCTTATTCTATTATATTATTTATATTATAACTAGGCAATATTCTGAATTTTTAACTGATCTTATTTACAACAACAATCCTAATATTAACAAAAATATTACTATTCTTTTTGACCTACTCAAATCTAATTTTAAAGATCTTATCTTAAATTTATAATCATTCTATTCACCAAACTTAACTATTCCAAAATCTTTACTTCATTAGTTACTATTCCTTTATATATAACTCATAATCATTTTTAACTCTGTCTCAATCTTGTACTATTTTATATTTTTTATTTAATAATTACCAATTTATTGATTACCAAAAATTTGCTAAAGACCTTCAACTTAGACTTAAAAGATTTAAAATTAAATCTTTTACATAAATTACTGATTCTAAACAAAAATATCTACTATTCAGTCAAATGCTAGATTCAATATCAAACTTTATTTTAATATCCTCAAAACTCTTTTTCTTAAAAGATTTTGTATTCCTTTACTAAAAAATTCTCTTTATCACTTTAACTTCTGATTTAATATCTATTATTCTCTCTACAGTAAGTAATTTTCTTCTAATATTGATAAAGAAAAAGTTTGCACCTTTCTTAAAATTCAATTTCATCAATATTTTATTTTCAACTCTTTAAACACCTTTCTGAAACTTATATATTTAAAAAATCTAATTTATTCAGAAATGATATAAAGAAACATTTCATGTTGCTAACTTTCATTATCTTATTTGTAATAATATAAAATGTTAATATCTTGATAATAAAAAATTTTATAACAGTACCAAGCTATTTAATAACCTTTTAACTAAATTCTACCTAATATTCTTTTTCAGAATGATGAAACTTGGATTTATCCAACTCTTAACTCTATATTATTTTATAAAAATAAAGAACATATTGCTTTATTTGATCAACCTATTCCTACAAAAGCTCTTGACAAATTAGTTGATCAAGCTGAAAGCTTTATTTGTAAACAAAACAAAATTAAAACTAATCCTAAATACTATAATTATTACTTTTACTGCTGTTTCTCTCTCTATTACCAAACTATTACTAAAAATCATAACATACAGTCTCTGTCCAAAGAGAAGATTATTAATTTATTTACAAAAAACATTATTAATATTAAATTTTTTATTTAAATTATTATATACTTTGATATTATCAAAAACTAAAAACCAACTTATCTACAAATTGTAAAATATTTTAATGATACAGTCTATCCAGTAGATGAAAAATTTTGATCAAAAAAATTCAATCTCAACTTTTAATCTGTTTCTATTTTAGACTTACTCTTTTTACAATCATCTTTTTAAGTTCTTTGTCTTCTACAACCAATATTAAAGTAGCCATCATCTTAGTAAAAGATATATCCATTGTAGTTAATAAGAAAAATAAGATAAATAGATAGATGACAAGTTTATTTATATAAAAGGCCAAGATAATGATAGTCAAATCCAATGTACAGAACAGACTACAGTATTTTATACACTTGTGAAAGCTAAGCATACAGTGATTGACTCTGTAGAAGACAATTTTAAAAGATTATTTACAATATCTTTAATCCCATATAATCTTTATATATATTTTAATAAATTTCTTCTTTATTACAATTTACCACTTCTCTCTTATGATCAAACTATTTAAACTTTAATTCAGCATATTGATAAATATAATAATAATAACAATAAAACAGTATCTAGTATTATATTTTCTATTAATTCATCTTATAATAAAACTTACATATACCTTTCTAATAATATTCTTTTATCAGATTATATTGTTATTGCTTCATATCTTCTTCCTATATTTTATAATCTTTCTCTCAAATCTAATTTCTTTAATCCTACTTCTATCTTATCTAATTTATTTTTTGACAACTACTTTTTAACTTCTAATTGTAATTCTTCATCATCTTTATCCAATCCAACTTCACATTATCTTAATCTAACTATTATTATATACAATGTTAGAGGCTTTAATGAACCTACTAAAAAAGAAACATAACAAGATTATTGTCTCAATTATGATATATCTATTGCAAATATCACAGAAACCAAAATCTCTGACAAATCTAAATTTTTTTTTTGTAATAATAAATTCTTTACTTAATACTAGTCTAACTCTTCTACTTTTATAAAAGGCACTACTATTATAATTTATAATTATCTTAAACCTCATGTTTACAGTATTCACACTTATTTTGAAGATACTATAGCACTTGATATTTTTTTTGAAATAATATTAGGCTTTGCATTATTTTAGTATATCTATTATCAAATGTTACTTTTACTTGCAATTAAACCCAAAATAAAGTAATTAATTAGATTCAACAAGTCTCTTAACTTTATATCAATTCTTTATTCTTAGTAACTTCAATACATAGGACAATACTTACAGCTTCTCTTCTAAATATAAACTTATTAATTTTCTTAATAATTCTAATATGTATAATATTGAAGCTTACTTTAATAACAAACACTTTACCTAATCTAATAATACTAATAATAGTTAAATTAACTACATCTGGGCTGATGAATTTAATATACAATTTCTTCTTTTTTATAGTTTTGAAATAGTCAAACTTCTACTTTCAGTGATCATTTAATTATTTCCTCTATATAGACATTTTAATATGCTTATAGCAAACCCTTTTGCAAACATACTGGCATTAACCACTGTATTTTTAACTACAAAGCCATGTCTATAGAGAACTGAAAATCCTTTGCAGATATTTTATTTCAACAACTCTTATTACATAAAACTCCTACTAATAATGAAATCTATAAGAGTATTAAAACTACTTAATACAAAATTTAATACTTTATTATTTATACTACTATCCATACTATCTTTAACAAAGTTTCTTACAAATGCAGCTACAATTATCAATACTTACCCCATAGTACTTTACTATATCTTTCTATTAAAAAACTTAATAATATTATTACTATATTTTCATACAATGACATATATCAGTATATTATTTTAAGTCTATGTGTATTATTTTAGAATGCACATAGGTTATATTTTGAGTTATATATACTATTTTCAAAAAAAATTAAAATAATGCCTATGTGATTATACCAATAATAATAATATAATATAAAGTTTTTTTTAATTATATTAATATTTAAATTACTTTTTTAATGCATATATAATTAAAATTATATATAAAACTATGCAAAATGCAAAACATAATAAATGTCTTCAAAAAAAAATTTACATATTAATATAGTAATTCTTTTTTGCTGCCTTTTAATATGCAATAATTGATATAGTAGTTATTATAGTATAATATAAGGAACTGAGATTATTCATTAACTAAATATTGGTGTTTTTTTTATATTTAGCTTTAGCATTAAATATAAATAAAAAAAAATCTTAATAAAAAATTAATGTTTTTGTTTAAATATATAAATTTATAGAGTTTATTTTTATTAACAGCTTGGCTTGCTAAAAATAGATATTTATTAAATTTTTTTAGTAGGAGCATCAGAATTTGGTAGTAATTTTAATAGGATTAGTTGTTTTTTTTTTTAATAATATTAACTTTTTTAGTAAAAGTATTAGTTTTTTTTATTTTTTAGCAAAATCTGAAGTTCAGCTTATATTAATATTATAACCTTATGGTTCTACTTCAAAAAATAAACTTTTGTTGTATTAAAAAATTGTACTAATGCAAGAGACACTTTTAATTTGCTCTAGTATAAGTTTATTAAATGTTTTTTTTTATTAACAAAACCTAAAGTTCAGCTTGTATTAATTGTGATATTTATTATTATTTGCTCTTATTATTTAATTTTTTTTTTTTTTAAATATTAAGGTAAGTACTTGTGACCCAGGATTTTATTGATAGTATATTTGGCTAATGATTGCTTTACAGCCACAAGGGCAACTATGGAAAGAGTGTATAACTAGCCACTCATACAAGTTTAGTTATTGTGAAATTTAAATAGTCTGTCTGAAGGTTCTATACTAGATGTCATACCTGGAACCCACTTGTAGATTCCCTATTTAACCACTCTGTTTTCATATTCACTCACCTACCTCTGCCTACTAACGATCCTAACTAATGCTATGAAAATATGCCATAGCCACTAAGTCTTTAAAGCATTCTTTGGAACCTTTGACCTTGTACTAAACCTTCTAGAATCTTCTGTATTCCATTCTTATAGCTGATCCAATATTACTATAGCTGAAACCAATACTGGTAGTCAGAGCATATTATTAAACCACTATACTCTTGTAGAGTTTACCTCAATCCTAGTACTAACTTCACAACATATCCTTACTACTTTGATATTCAATTCAAGTTCTACCAAGCTGCCATTCCAGATAACTCAGAAAGGTAGGTCAAAACTATACACCTCTGGTTTATATATTTGCTAGCATGTATTCTTTTTCTCTAGAACTCAGAAATTCTGGTAGCTTGGTTGTTTCATTTAGTCCCTTCTCAAAGACTGGCACATTTGCTCAGTTTCACAAATTCTAATTCTGTTTCATAAGTTTAGTCTTTACAGTAGCACTGTTGAAAGCTTAAATTACCTTTCTACTTGGGTTTTCCAAGTAGGCTTCCATCTTTCTTTTATTGGTTCTTATGATTTACATGACTATGAGGACTTATTGTAAGTTTGCACCACCTAGTACCAGTTAGCATTCCTTGTGTAACCACAGACCTTGTCCCAAAAACAATGTCATGTGACGTTTACACAAATGCCATGTGACCTGCCTGTCATGCTGGTATAACATAGATTATAGGTGTCTTATCTCAACCAATTGCAAGAGACAGTTAATCATAATACAGAGAGGATTTTTAAATTTTTTGTCGATACTGGGATTTGAACTCTGAACCTGCCACTTGGGAGTTGACAACCTAACCACTTCACTAGGTTGCCACACCCCTTATTATTTATTCTATTTGCAAAAGATATTTATTATTATTGTATTTTTTTTGTTTAATCTGCTCAGGTTCTGCTATTATGAAGGTTAATAGTAGTTATTACTATTAATGTCTATCTTAGAGGTGAAGTACACACAAGTTAAAGATCATTTTTTTTATACTTATACTTATACTTATACTTTCTTTGACTATTACATTATATTTTAATTACATATATGCATCAAATTTTAATCACACACATTTGACTTTTAATTAATCTATCAATCACATTACTGTCCTTAACTCTATTATAATATTTTTTATGCATTTATTATTTATCTAATTTATATATATTTACTGATCTATCTAATTTATCTAATTTATGTGCTACTAATTTATTTATGTTTATGTTACTAATTTTTGCAAATTTATTCCTTTATGCTCCAATTCTATGATTTATTCTATATTGATAATTATATGAGCATATAACATAGCATTCAATTTGAAGTCTTTCTATTATTTATTTCTATTTATATGTCTATAATATATATATATAAATATAATTTTTTTTTGTTTATTATGCCTTGCTTGTATTCTGGGTAAGCATATTGTGTGTTTTGTGTTATATCATGACACTAGTGTTAGAAGTTCAATGTTTCTATGTTTGCATAAAATATTATATCTAAATTGAGAATATTTTTTTAAAAAAAGCATTTTATATATTCAATAATCATAAGAATAATAGTTTGAGTAATAGTGAGAATATATTTTTTTAAAATATTAGATTATTAAATATTCCAATTTTTAATACTAGTTATTGCCAGTTTTATTTAAAAATAAAGCTGTATTTAGCAGTTGTTTAATGTTTTTGTTTATTGCTGTTTTCAAATTAGTGTGATCAATGAATTTTGTAAATCTTATGAATCTTATATGTTGCAATTATTAAAACAATGATAATGTTTAGAATTTATAAAATTCACAAAATTCAATGATTGTGCTAATTGAAAAGAGTGATAAAATAATAAAAGTATAAATTAGTAAAATTTATTCAAGTATTAAATTACTGTTTTTTTTTAAATTATTATAATAATATGAATAATAATACTAGCTTAGAAACAAAAAAATGAAGTTATTCTATTTAATTTAAGTTTGATGTTATTTCCTATACAGAAAGTATATCAAATCGTAAGGCTTCAATTTTTTATAAGATTAATCAAAAACATATTTAGAAATGGAAAACACAAAAGTTAGAATTAGAAAAAATTAAAACTTCTCAAGCATTAAGTCTTAGAAAGACAAGAGTTCTTAGTGGTCATGGTCATAAGCCAATGTATTCAGCTTTAGAATAAAAATTAATTAAGTTTATTATAGAAAAGTAAGATGAAGAGCTTGCTGCCACAAACTCTTTGATTAAATGTAAGATGAAAGAATTAGCTAAAACATTAGAACTTGGTGATATTAAAGCTTCATGTAATTCGATTAAAAGGTTTAATAATTGAAATAATTTAGTGCAATAATCTAAAACTCAAACAGCTTAAAAATTCTTGAGAATCACCTATAATAGTTAGTGATTTTCTTAAAAGTTCATATAAAACTATAAAAAAATTTGAAAAAAATATATACTTTTATTTATGAGACACTAATCTGGTTTGACATGCCATGAAATTTAATTATTAACTTTAGAGCATACATGAAGTCTAAATTAAAATCACAGAAAATAACAAATTGCATTTTAATGTTGTCTTAGGTTTTTTTTTTAAAAAAAAAAAACACTATAATAGTAATTACTAAAATATAATTGATGCATTTTGTTGTTTAGATTTTACTGCATCTAAATATAAACTTCTACTAATAATTATATTTAAGTTAATAAGAATTTTTAAAAAAAATTTTACAAGAGATGTTGTCATAGTCACTGCATTTGGTAAAAATATAAATGAAGATTTAATGCTTTCTGCATATATTCCTAAAGTCATACAAGCAAGACAAGACCAGATAAAATTTTAAAAGTATTATATTTGTTGATTGTCATAGAAGTCACACATATAGTGATGTAGTTAAAGCATTAAATATAAAGTGTTTGAAGGTTATAAAAATTTCCAAAGTAACAACTAGCATATTGCAACCATCTGATGTCTTAGTTAATAAACTGTTAAGAATGTAATAAGTAATAAATAGGATAAATAAATAAGTAAAGAAGAGAAAGAATATAACAAAAGTGAAAATTGTAAAAAAGCATTGTATGAATTAGTTTACAAGTGGGTGTTAGAAACATGAAAAGAAATTAATCAGAAACTTCTAATTAGATCCTTTGAAGCATGTGAACTTATATTGAATCCTGATAGAAGTGAAGATAATAAAATGGCAAGAAGACTTTAAGCAATTATTAAGAATCATATGAATGATGCAAATCTAAAAAGATCAAGTAAAAAAAAGCAAATAGTAGATAAAGATAATTGTGATAATAATAATGATGATGATGAATATAAAGAAATTAGTAGTAATAAATTTGATAAAAAAATTAATTTTGACAAATTTGATTAAAATGAAATTACTTATATGTTTAAAGAAGTTAAGATTAGTAATGATAAAATTGAAACAATTAATTTGATGTAATATATTAACTATTTTTTTATTTTTAGGATTTTTCTTGCATACTTATCTACAATTATTCTAGTATATTTATATTAGCATAATTCAAAAAATTTTTTTTTATATATGATAAATATTAAATTTCAAAATATTTATTATTGGTATAAATTTCAAATAAAAATTTCTTATTAGCATAAATATAAAGTCTAATATGAAAATTTAAAATTGTAATAGTTCTTACTTTATTATAGAGAATTTAGATAAATATAACTTATATTTAGTTAAAAATAGATTTTTTATATTAATAATTAATGTAGTTTGGTTTTTAAATTTCAAAAGTTTTAATAAAAAGTGCTTTAGAAAGTATCTTTACTTGTACAATACATCTGATATAATTTTATACTAAGTTAAAGAATATATAAGGTTACAAGTATAGGTGCTGAAATATATTCAATAATATAACTTTTTTTATATCTTAATAGCTGTAGCTTAAGATATAAATAATATGTTAAAAAAGTCTTAATTTACATATGTTATGAAATTTTGCATGTGTTATAACAATTAACAAATATTGTAATGTTTAATATGTGCTATAACAATTGATGTCTTGTGTTCTAATATTTAATACATAAAGAGTTTAAGTCCTTTAGCTTACTTGTTAAGCCTTCATTTTCCTATAGACAAGGGCAATGTTTTGAGTTTGGCTAGAGGTAAAATACTTTATAACCAAAAATGGAACCTATAATTGAATGCAAAATTCTGTAAAAGTTTAAGTGAAGGTACATATTTGATCTAAAGAATTCTCAGAAAGAAACTAATATGGCAAAGTGTAGTACTACTATAGTAAGAAATGTGGAGAATATTATTAACATTTGTGGAAAGGATTGGCCTTATCTAATATAAAATTATAAAAAAAACATTGAAAATCAGAGACTTTGAATAGGAAACCCACAAACAGGTTTCAGGTATGGCAATTAGTAAGTAACTTGTAGGTGAAACCTTTAAATATACAATAACTAAAGTTGTACAAATAGCTAATTGTAGCCTTATTGATATGCAAAATCTAATATTCTCCTACAATATTTATAGATTGTAAGTCTTAATAAAAGATCACAAGCCATAAATATTGATCTTTAAACCTAAAAAAAAAAACCATTTAGTATATAACACTTGAATTGTATATAATATTTGATATATAATATAAGTTTATTTAGCAAATATTGTTAGAAACATCTAGACAATGAAGAACCTAGAATATAAGTTTTAACTCTTTACTAAATCTCATTGCAAATAAGAACATTCCACTTTATAATGCTTAGAATTTACTTTTTTATACATAATAACATAGTCTCATACTTTACTAAAAACAGGACCATCTCTTTACTATTTGCAGCAGTAAACTACAGTTAGTTTTTAATTCTGATAATGTAGGTTATAATGGTATAGAAGTGCCAGAATTGGGTTCCTTAAAGACATTGCACAATTTTCAAATTTTAGTCTATTTTCACTTATTTTTTTTAAAAGATTTATTCTTAATTTTTATACAATATATTTGTAGTTATTTATTTTTTTAAAAAGATTAATTTCAAATAAACTTTTTTTATTAATATTACATCTTTCTGAATAATATTTTTTTATTGATACTAAGTTTAATATGATTTTAAAGAAAAGCACATTAATTTAAGATGCACATAGATGTTATTTTGAGTCAAATAGTTAGTTTTTTAAAAAATGTAATTTTCAAAATAATGCTTGTGCATTATTATACAAAAATATAATAAACTTGTTAAAAAACTTATTCAACATTCTAATACCTCTTATATTAATCAAAACATTTCTCAAATTAACAAACAGTCACAATGTGACCTTTAATTATTTACTTCTACCAACTCAACCTTTATTCAAACTTGGCTCTAACATATTTACTCAACCTAGAAATAACTCTTTTATGCCTACTATTTTGAAAACTCTCTCTTATTTTAACAACAAATTAATCAAGCTATTGACAAAAAATGTGTTACTTTTACAACATATTCTACTTAGGCTATTAATAGTATTTTCAATTATTACTGCTAACTCATCTATTTTAATAATATAAAACTTCCTCAAGAGCTTATTACCAACCTACTAATTATTAAACAACATGTCCAATCTACTTTTAATATTAGACTGCACACAAACCTATCAACCAAACTCTTTTTGATAATTTTTGACAACAACACTACTTTTATTTTCTTATATTAATTTAATTTGATATTATTTTCTCAATTTTCTTATTACTAATAAAGAACTTTCTAAAACTCTCTTTCAACTACCTAATAACAAAGCTTGTAATCCTATAGGCATTAATTATAAAATACTTAAACACATTAGCTCTTAATGCACTTTTATTATTACTGCTCTCTTTACTATTGCTTTCTTGAAAATAGAATTTCTAAGTAATGAAAACATAGTCACATTTATCCTATTCCTAAATAAAATACCTTTAATGATAATCTTAACCTTACTTAACCTATTAGTCTTGTTGAACATATTTACAAGCTTTACACTAAAATCCTTACCAATTAACTTAGCTTTGTATTTTCTACTCATTCTATCTTCTTATCTTTTAATTATATTGCTTTTCCAATAATAGTATCTTAATTTCTATCCATATTTTTAACAACCTTATTAAAGATGCTTCTTGTAATCATAAAGACATTTGGCTACTTTTACAAGATATAAATAAAGCCTATAATTCTATCAATTTTATTTTTTTAAATATGTACTTTCTCATCTTTTACTTCTCTTATTCACTATCAGCATTTTTTTTAATATTCTTATTAATCATCATAACCAAGTTATAACTAATCTTAGTTTGATTTTATCTTATTCAGTTCACAATGATATTGATCAAGATGAAACTATTACTCCTCTGTTATGGTATATTTACTATGATTTACTTATCTTCTAAATAAACTTAAACAATCCTAGTTATAAATTACAATTCTCTTGGATTACTAACCTTTAACTTCAAATATCCAATTCATTACAAAAACAATGCTCTATCTTGGCTTATATAAATAATACTCTTTGGATTGCTTTATTACAATCTGAACTATCACATATATTATCTATAGCTGAATCCTTTTATGCTATAGCCAATAACCAAGTTAACCTCTCAAAATCTATTCTGATTACTAATAATTCTTCATCTTATTATACAGCTATCTCTTATAAAAACCATCTTCATTTTTTTTATTCTTCTAAAATACCTTTTAAATTTTTAGATTGTTAGTTCACTTTGAATAACAAACAATCTAAACAAATACAACTACTTATCTCTAAATTCTCTTAACTAATCCAAATCACTAAAACCAAACATATTACTGACTTACATGCTTGTTAGATGATTAATATAATGATTATTCTTATTCTTGAATACTGATTTTAGAATATTATAATCAACCAACACAGGTCGAATACATGAATAATGGTAAAATAATAGAATGTATCTATATAGTCTTATTAGTTAGCTGATATGCATATCAGGTAATATATCAGTAAACTAACAGTTATCTATATTATAGAAAGATTAAATGTAAATATCGGCTATATAATAATATACTTTTAGTTTCCTATTATTCTTCTGTTATATATAAAGGGATAAGATAAAAAGAATAATAATAATAAACTAATAGGTGTCAGCATCAAAGCAAAATATAAGTATACAAAAGATATAAGAAATATATACTTTTTTTTTTCTTTTATTATTCTA